TCTACCGTCATATCATGATTGTGTCCCTTCTACTGTATGAAACACCATTGTGTTGCATACGCGTCACTTCCAGGAGGTGTTGGTGTCACAGGAGGAAGGGACCATAGCGGAGGATAGAAAGCTTGCGCAGGAAAGGAAGGTCCCGGCGGTTGACGGGGGACTAATCTGGTTAAATGGAATGTCCGAGAGTGTGCTCAGTGGTGTTTATAGCCGTGGGAATGTTATCACAACCATGCCATTGCAAAACATTGATAGCTCAAATCCTGTAAGCTACCCGATTTGTTAGCGGTTTGTTTATCCCATGAGCTTCCTTTCACTCACTTCATTTTGCGGACGGACACACGGACATACATACATACATACAAACCGACCAAGTTGAGGTTTATATAATCTCTCTTCGTTATATAAAGCACAACTTCGTGTGTCGGTTTGTTTGTGTGTATGCGGTAAGTTTGTCTGTCCTGTCGTCCGCAAAATGAAGTGAGTGATAAGGAAGCTAATGGAATAAACAAACCGCTAACAAATCGGGTAGCTCGCAGGATTTGAGATATCAATGTTTTGCAATGGCATGTTGTGATAACACTCCAACGGCTATATAAACACCTACTTAGCACACTTCCGGTCATTCCACAAGGTGCTGCAGTGGCAGCTGGAGGGCAGTGGAGGAGGGGGAGAGTAAGGAGAGGAGGAGGAACGCAAAGCTTACAGGGGGGGAGGTTCCGGCGGTTGCCGGGGACCAATCTGGTAGAAGGATGTGCGCTAAAACACTGAAAACGGTAAACTTTTGGTTATCCCGTGATTTGTTCTTCAGCACAGCCTCTTGAGCCAAGTATTACGTCAAATATTGGGAGTGATGGGCGGAAGTGGTGTAGTGGCAAGTGGCACGCTTACCACGCGAGCGGTCCGGGGATCAAATCCTGGGTCGTGAGTCGCCCGGGCCAACCAAGCCTTCCATCCCTCCGGGGTCGGTTAATTGGTACCAGACTTGTCTGGGAGGATAAAAACACTGACTTGTACATCGGCTGGCCCCGCAAGTCATTGTATAGGCCACATCGCATTCAAACGCCACTACGAATGTACAAATGGAAGTAGAATGCGTGCCGCATCCCAAAAGGGATTGATCAACGGCAAATGCTTTATCCTTTATCCTTTATTAGGAGTGAATTTGTGAATGCAATATCGCAGGTGATGCCAGGAGCGATGGTAAAACCTCGACAGCAGCCTGACTGGTACGGTTTACGAGTCCTCGAGGAAGAAAGGCCCGACTTATTCGGACCGGATGGAGCGATGGAGGTTAGACTAAATATGAGAAAATCTAACAAGTTCATGCTAAGGAAACCTCAGTTTCACATGGTTCGATAGGCATCGAATGGCTACTACCCACCTGGAAAGCATTCTATGTAGCGGGCCATGTCTGATAATGAGTACCCTTCCTCGAGCTCCTTCCATGATAGGAGAAGACTCATTTAAAATTCATGTGGCAAATTATGAACCACCACCATTGGAATAAACTTGCCAGATGGCATTATGCATTAGATTTGATGTTGCGTCTCCATACCGACACGGTGCTTTTCGGAGAAGTTCGGCCCCTCACACCCAGCCTAATGGAAGCCTAAATGAGGATTTCGTGATAAGGTCTAAGGTCGAAGAAGGGGGGACTCAGTGGAATGAGCTGACTTCATTAGCTCACCCTATTACGAGGAGAGCGTCGTGTGCAGACCATACACCACAAGTGACGACGGCCTCCAAGTAAATCTGGTTAGTAGTGTTCATAGTGATAGTGATTTTTGGTAAATGATAGTTAGTGACAACTGATAGAATACAACTGCAACAGGCTAATCATTTCATTGGCAGAAAACATTTACATTTTGTGGAGGCCGTCGTCACTTGTGGTGTATGGTCTGCACCCGACGTTCTCGTATTTTGAAAGGGAGGGTATATGTATGATCTCTGATCTAACATATCTGGCTCCGAGTCGCTATCGACGCGGCACACCCTGACTAACCACTCTCCGCAGGTTTTTGGCCGCGTTAGTGTTGAATAGGGCAGTACCGGTGAGGGTTGTATCAATGCAGAAACCAACGGGCAGGGGACGGGTTCAAGACGTCTCTCTTAGTTGTCTCTTCATCCTGCCACCACTAACCAACCCTACCTCAATTCCCACGGGCTGTTGTTTTTTATCGTAAACTCTGACTTTAGTCAGTCATCGTGGCGTGGGGGTAATGAAGACCTTCTCCGATAAGGTTTTAATATGAACAGTACTCGAAAAGATCAGGCAATAATGCAGGGAGCCGTGATAAGTGAACTTCAGAGCAGGCAACCGAGGAAAAATTGATGCAGTCCCTTCCATAATTGTTGTCAACGTCAGGGACACTGAGTATTCTATTGGAGAAACCTCTGGTCGATCTCATATCAAATCCCTTCGCTGATAATTGGGTCCAATATGCCCTTCTTCAAACATCCGAAAGTTCTATGATATGTTTAATAGAGTTTACATCTGAGAGAGCCTCAATTTAGAAAGAAGAAGCTGCACTTATGGACAACTTCATCAGGGACAGAAACGATCTCCAGACCGGCGATCTCATTATTACAGATGACAAGTAAGGTTCATGAAACAAATAATCTGTTAATCATTGTATTAGGTGCGGTAAACGTAGTGCGGCTGGAGTTACTGCTTTGTACTGAGATGGCCGCACTTCGTGCAGTGCTGCCCAGATTTTCTGGTAGGTGAAATAAACAGAATGTGTGCGAGGTTAACAAGTGTGAAAGTGGTCTTCTTTCAAAAATCATGATCAAGCTGATCCTGTAGTAAAACCAACTAGCTTGACGCCTATGAAGGCAAGTCTCGGGCTAAACCTTAAAGGAATCCTTCGTGGAAAAATCATGCTTTTGTTTGAGCCATGAATCACTGACTTGAGACTCCGATAAGAATGGAAAGAACAGAAAATTGCTTTCGTTTTGGTAAAAATTCAAAAAATCGAAAGGGCTGCTACGCGTTCAAAGTGCCCACGGACGTCTTTCATGCTGGCGACGGGGATGCTTCCACTTGGTTCTTGGAGTGCCTTCACTAGAAACTCTTTCTGGCCTTCTGCTTTATTGCATTCACATCTTACACTTCTACTCCATCCTATTCTATCGATCGATTTGTCTCTACTCTCCGAAATCGCGCGCTTTAACCCGATTCTCTCATTGCGTCGCCTGATACGTAGCCGGCCAAAGGCCAACTTCTTTCCATGCCTCTTTGGCTCCGCCCGAATTACCTTCGATGTCCATAACGTGTAGTTTTTGTACGTTTGTTTCTCTTCGGAAACCGAATCTTCATGCGTGAAACTTTGTGTGCTGTTTCCAGTGATCACAACTGACACATTCATGTCAAGAAAGAATGCAAGAATTTTCCGCGAAGGATTCCTTTAAGTCTAAAAGTGCTTCATAATGATGGCTGAGCTGCAAAGTGAAGCGAATATGGGGAAGAAAGCAAGGAAATACTTGACACCTCAGCCATCGCTGTAAAGGGATCTCATATACCAGTTGTAGCCCAGGGTTCTTGCTCTAGCCAGCTGGATCTACTAACGAAAACGCTGTTTTTAAGGACCCAAACTATCGGTATGATGGGATGTGGTTTGACGCAGAGGCCGAGTGCTGCGAGCAGAGGGAAAATGCGAAAGCGCACGCCACACGTGAGGGTACAGAGGCCATGTGTTTAAAGCCGGCAATGGGTTTAGAAGAAAGGCATCTTCACTCCGCTGAGATGAAGATGCTGAGATGGGCGGCTGGATGTGACTGGACAGGATCCGAAACGAAGTTGTCAGAGCGGTCATGCAGACTGCCCCTGTCCAGCTGAAGGTGAGGGAACAACGACTGTGATGGTATGGCACGTGCTAAAGAACGGCAATGAATTTTGAAGCGCAAGGCAAGCGACCGCGAGGAGCCCAAAGAAGAGGTGGAAGGACGTCATCAAGAAGGACCTAAGTGAAGTCACGGCCACAGCAGAAGATGCCCTGGACAGAGCGAAGTGGCGACGACTGACAAAGACAGCGGACCCTGCGACTGCGCGGGACTAACGCTAGGGAGAAGAAGAAGATAAAGTTATTTTATGCGCACCACTACTTGAGCTCGCAGGGTTTGGTTCAGTGGCGGGAGATGGGTACCAGTCCTGGGCCCAAGATCCAAATATGTTCAGATCAAGAAATTCATACACCTTCAACAGAAAAGGGGCTCGGAGCTATGCTAACCTGAGAGGGTGGAAGAGTGGATGCGAGTTAAGTATTAACGAATTAAGTACGAACAAACGAACGAGTTAAGTATTAAGCATAGCACAAGGGAAGATATTCAATCATCTGTGACTTTCTAAGCGAACGTCGAATGCCAAGCACTCAGAAAAATTAAGAAGACTAGTTACCAAACACTTCTTTATTTTAGCTTAGACGAAGAAGATCGGCGTTTTAATCGCTATGAGGTTCAGCTCAAATACAACGAAGGACGATACACAGCACTATATCTAATTTCAAGACAAGTTTGTGCAGAGTATGTTTCCCCTGAAAAATATAAAAAACCGTATATAACTTTTACAAATAGAAGAGCACGCCGCAATCCCCTCTTCCGGACATAGATAATATGAACACCGCATTAGGAAGTGCTGAATACTGTAGCTGATGAACGAGCCAAATAAATTGAAAACAATTTGAAGCCTTGAACAAATCTACCCATTATGCATCACTGACTACCAACGATGTTGGAGTGGCGAATATGTATGTGTTTGCTTGGTCAACGAATCAACACTTGCGAAGAAAAGTTAGATCAGTTCACTCAAATTTGGAACAAAGAGATAGCCGCTGACGGAAAGCCATGGAATTCAATGAATAAACAAAGGCCTTCAAAACGACAGTAAAGAATTTTAGAAATGGTACAGAACTGAATTGTGTAGGGCCAGCGGTCCGCGGACTTGGTGAATCTGATTCTGTGACTCTGGAGAGAAGGTATCATATGTATGTGAACGAAAAGGCAAGAGTTATCGAGCAGGGTGAAAGAGAAGAAAATATGCAAAAATTTGGAAAATTTTGGCAACCGCAATATTGCCAATGTGTCTGGTGTGGTGAACTGCTATCCAAAAAATGCAATGGGAGGGGTCAAATGAGGAAGGGGGCAGGGAATGATCACATGTGAGGGAACGTCTACATCGGTTTGAAAAGAAGCCATAATTGGGCAATATTTACCCTTTACTGCCCCACTTTTCCCATGCTGAGACGGATCTCAATCGAAATTCGTCTATGACAAAGGAATTGGCTATCGGCCGTTCCTGGGGGTATTTCGACCAGTAGAACACTAGCATAACACCAGAAAAACCCAACACTAGAAAATCTACAAAGTATACAAAAGGCAATGGGAAAATAATAAACCAAAAACAGGATCACTTCCCAAATTGGCTGATGTTGGCACTGACAAAGGAGCGAAGTAGTTCGTGCAGCCCATCCACCGCGGCGAATTAGTGCTGAACGGCGAATTCTTCTTCTTCTTTTTCTTTAGCGTTTGTCCCGCTTGTGGCGGGGTCCGCTTTTCTGATGTGTTGACGCCACTTTTCCCGATTAATGCTTGATCGGGGTGGATACCAACTAACTTCAAGTCCATATGCAACGTATCAAGCCAGCGCTGCTTTGGGCGTCCCTTAGGCCGCTTTCCGGGCACGTCATGTTGAGGCCGATCTTACGCACACTGTCATCGTTTCCACGAAGCACATGACCATACCATCGAAGACGAGCTTCGCGCATCTTATCAGCAATAGGAGCTACACCAAAGCGATCCGTATGGTATCATTACAAATACGATCTAAACGCGTGACACCAGCCATAGTCATAGAACGCCACTTGGACCATGCAGCACTCACGCGTGAACTCACTTCAGTACCCATACTACCATCTGACGCTATTACCGATCCAAGATACTTGAACGTGGTCGTGCGTGATAGCTCTGTGCCGTTAATTCTTACGAACTGTGTTCGCTCAGGTTAGGTT